ATGGAAGAAAGTATGGAGACAGAAGGAGGAAATGCAGGGGTCATCAAGCAGAAGGCAGCATTGGCACAATGTAGGGGACCAGGAAACTCAGAAAGAGATAAGGTCAGAGGCATAGACTGGGTTGAGGAGTTGTGAATGCAAGGACAGGGAACTTTGTTCTTCATACCCTGTGCAAAGAGGAGCTAGTGGAAGGACTTGACGAGGAGGATTACTTCCTACTGGAGAAGAGGCGGTTGCAGTATGTAAAGCCTAAAAAAAGAGAAATTATACTACAGCCAGGCTCACTCAGCATTTCTGAAAAGTGTACGGGCTGGTCCTCGTCAGTTCTGGTACATTCCTGGAGTTTCTAATCAGCCTGAATGGCCCATTCCCCGTTGCTTCGCTGGATCGTGCTACAGCTGTGTATAGGTGAGTGTTTGCTTGCTTTACCAGTGTATGTCTTCAGAAGACAAAGTGAGATTCATTTTATTTTTGGAAAGTTACAGAGCAAATGGTATTCATTGTTTCTATTTGTATATACACCCCTAGCCATGTATAAGGTTGTAAACATGGACGTGACTCACATTCATTGTTTCTGTATGTGTATATACAGTATATCCCTATACACATATAAGATTGTAAATATATACGTGACCTCTTAGAAGATTGTAAAAATTATTTGAATTAGTGCCAATGCAGAAGAATGTATTAGTTAAACAGTTTATTAATTATTCAGATGTTCTATTTGGTTCCCCTTTATATGCAAAAGTTGTGTGTAGGTTCTGTTGGTTATTAAGATAGCTTTGGATAACTATAACAACAACACAAAAGTAATTTTTTTTTTGTAAATCTAACTTTTCCTGCCTGCCCTGAGCTGAGCTGTCGGCCCCAGGTTTAAATATTAATGGAGTAATGCTTTTATAAAGTGAGACAAAGCATGGGATTTGGTAAAGTTCTCTGCCTTGGCTGCATTCTGTTCAGATTAAAGTCAACGGTAAAACTCCCAATGGAAGTAAAGTGGGAGGAGAGTTATAGCAACACGGAGCACTTTCAGAAATCCCACCCAAAACGTTGTGGAAGCAGAGAATTAATTATCTTCCATGTAAAATCTGGTGCAGAAGGACTACAAGAGATGCATGTTACAAGGAGAATTAGAAAAACTCGAGAGACTGTGTAGTATACTGGCCACAATTTCCAAACCTGGGTGCCTTGAGTTAGGCTCCTAAATCCATATTTAGGCATCTAGGGTGAATTTTCAGAAGAGCCTATGTGCCTTAAGAGCACAAGTCTAACTTTCAGTCGGCCTTGTGCTCCTAAATCACTTAGTCGCTTCTGAAAATTCTGTCCTAGATGCCTAAATATGGACTGAGTAGCCTAACCTTAGTCACCCAGGTTTGGAAATTTTGTCCATGGTGTATAGAGCTGTTAAAATGCCAAACAGGATGAAGTAGCCATTCTAATACTTACAGTAACTGCAATATTCTTAAACCACTATCTGAAAACCAGGGAAAGATTGGGATATTGGTAGAAAACAGTGAGAGACCAGAATTGATTTTGCCCCTTCACCGGTCCCATTGAGATTCAGCAGGCAAGCTAACCTAGCTCCAGGGTATCTGATGCTTTCTGTTGAGCCAGAATCACACTGGGATTGCCACAGCCACAGGGAATCCAAAATATTTCTAACCCATTACCATGTCCATTATTGACCTAACTAGGAGGCCCCTGAGGACCCTTTACCCACTACTCCTTCAGCCTGAAAGAAAGTCAGTTTTTAGGCCTTCATTTGTGGTTGCGTGAGTAGTATCTTTATATGGAAACATAGGGGTCAAAATGACCATTAGTCACTTCTCACCCATCTTAACCTAGCTCAGCATTGTTAAATCTTGGAACTGCCAGGTTTCGACACAACAGAGTGAGAAGTCAAACAATATTTATCCTTTTATCAACTCAGCCCCTGGAGAACCTGGTACTCATGCTATATCTAACTTGCTCTAAGCAAATATGAACAATAGAGCTGGAAGGGAAAAAATCAATATTTTTTCAACAAAAAAAGTAAAGATTTTTTTGCAAAAATTATTCCTTTTTCAACCAGCTCTAACGTACAACCCACACTAGAAGCATATGCATTTTTGCGTCGCCTTTACTAGCTAGTCTACATAAGAGGAAAAGAGTCTATTACAGTTACCCCCTAATGGAGTTACTCCCTTATATCAAGTAGCAGAGGTGTATGCTTTTAGCACTGGAGGCCACAGGTTCTAACACTGCCGATGACCCAAAAGAGACATTGATAAATATGGTGTGAGCAGCCAATTATGAGCTCAGTTGTGTTTTGACCTTTATATGACTTTAAACATAAGGGGGCAATTCATCAACAATTGCACTGAGTAGACTTACTGGGTAGGCACACTGACCTCAGTGGGACTCATATGAGTAGTTGCTACTTAATGTGAGTATTGGGCCAAGAATCAGCCCCTAATGGAAGTATTTGTGTATAGATATAGCTAGGGCCCTACCAAATTCACAGTCCATTTTGGTCAATTTCACGGTCATAGGATTTTAAAAATAATAAATGTAATGATTTCAGCTATTTAAATCTGAAATGTGACAGTGTTGTAATTGTAGGGGTCCTGACCCAAAAAGGAGTTTGGGGGGGGGGGGTCGACAAGGTTTTTGTAGGGGGAATTGTGGTACTGCTGCCCTTATTTCTGTGCTGCTGCTGACGACGGCGCTGCCTTCAGAGCTGGGCAGCTGGAGAGCAGTGGCTGCTGGCTGAGAACTCTGCTCTGAAGGCAGAGCCCCCACCAGCAGCAGCGCAGAAGTAAGGATGGCATGGTATGGCCATCTTCTGCACTGCTGCCTGCAGGGCACTGCCTTCAGAGCTGGGTGCCTGGCCTACAGCCACCGCTTTCCGGCCGCCCAGTTCTGAAGTCAGCACAGAAGTAAGGGTGGCAGTACTGTGACCTCGTAAAATAACCTTGTGATCCACCCCCCCGCAACTCCTTGGAGAAACCCTGGTCTCCCTCAAGAGATCGGTATAGTGCAGGGTAAAAGCACACAAAAGACCAGATTTCATGGAGGGAGACCAGATTTCACGGTCTGTGACGCGTTTTTCATGTCTGTGAATTTGGTAGGGCCCTAGATACAGCCAATAGTGTGATTTTGTTTAACTGAACTAAAGGTACATCTACACTGCCGCTGGGAGGTACTTCCTAGCTCCAGTAGTCTGCTCAAAATAGCCGTGGGGGTAGCATGGGCGGTTGCTCAGGCTACCGTCCTGAATGCATATTCGGGGTTCAGGCGGGTTAGTACTCAAGCTAGGCCAGATGCAGGGCAGGGTTTGGGCTGGAGCAAGGCAAACCCAGAGAGACATGCTTCTCCTTATGGCCCTTGTTCAACACGATGCTAGAAATGACCAGGGACTGAATACAAGGAAGGTAGAAATCATAATTAAAACTTCAGGGGACATGGGGCAGATCATACAGCCTGGAACAGACAGGAGGGCACAAATCCTCCATTGGGTAATGTCCTCTCAAGTCAATGGAGTTAGGCCAGCAGAGAATTTGCCCCAATATGTGAACTCTTCTTTTTTATTATAGTGCCCTTAGCTAAAAGAACCATCCCTGTTAGCTCTGATTTCAGAATCACACCCACAGCCCTCCAGCCAGGGGTGCTGTGTGGCAGGGAGACAAACCCGGGGCTAAATGAGACGGGTTTGTCTATAAATGCAAAGTGAAGCTGAACACACTGATAGCCCGAGCCGGCTCTTGCCGTGTAGCTCCAGTGGAGTTACTCCAGGTTTACAGTGGGCTACGTGAGGAGCATCCGGTTCAGTATGCTTGGTATTCAGGTGAATGCAGTGTCCAGGAAAGGTGCTGGCCCATTTGATAACTGGGCCGGGGGGGTGGGGTATGTGTGGAGCCAGCTCTGAAGAATGAAGACCTACTTTTATTTATTCTCAGAACAGGCACAGCATAAGCAATGGCAGAGCAAGTTTCTAGCACTGGCCTGCCAATGTACCTCAACCCTGAGTGGAGAGACCACCTCTAGACACACCTGGGTGATTTTTGGGCTTACTGCTGAGACAGGCATTTAGATCCAATTGTAACAACATTTTTGGGGGGTGGAGGGTGGGGCAGGGCAGAGATGGGGATGGAGTGAGACTGCCAAATTCATTTCACACCAGGTCACCAAATAGATGACAACCACTTTCAGACCAATTGGGGCTGGGATTGAAAGGTGAAAGACTTTTTCCTGAGTAACCTGGGTCCCATTTTCTCAGCTTCCCTGTGGAATCTGCGGTGCTCAAGTGCAAGTAAAATCGTCTCCATTCCAATAGACCCGCCAACTGGCACCCCACGGGTTTTAAAAGATGGTTGCTGTGTACTCCCTCCTCGGGCGTCTCCTTTGCCAGGATGCCTGGAAAAAAATAAATAATAATAATTAATAATAGTACTCTCCACAGCTCAGGAGAGATGGGAGCATTCCTTGTCTTTGTCCCCCGCCCTTCCCTCAGGGTAAGTGAATATTGACCTCCCATCACCTTGTAACTCCTTCTCCTCCCACACTGGAGCAATTGGCTCAGTGTTCCTCACCTTGTTGGTTGAGTAGGGAGAATTCTGGTGGTCATAAGTCTGCTCATCCCACTGCACTGCACAACTGCAGGACAATGAGAGCAAAGACTAATATACTACAAGATGCAGGCCTCTGGTCAAGACTGGGAAGGCTGCCATCTTCTTTGCTAATAACACTTGCTTATGTCCTTTCCCAGGGTATCTTAGAAGGTCTCTCAGGCAGGGCTCAGACTGGGATGACCCAAAGGGGTCACTATTCCACTATTAAAACAAAGTAACGAATGCAAGGTGCGTGGCGGAAAGGCAAGAGGAGTGTTCTCCCCTTCTTACTTAAATATTTACCTGACTGTCCTGTTCTCGGGATACGGTACTGTGTGAGATTGAGGAGCAGGGCTGTGTATCCATGGAGTAAAAAGTCTTGACTTTGCTTTTCCTGCTCTTCCTCCCCAGCACACGGTGTGTCTGACATGACAGTAAGAGCGAAGGTGGGGCAGTCTGTCAGGCTCCCCTGCACCTACAGCGTTAGAGAAACGCATGACCTCCGTGTCATGTGCTGGGGCCGGGGGATCTGTCCGTCATCTAAATGCAGCAGTGAAATTGTTCGCACTGATGGGCAGAAGGTGATATCTAAACAGTCTGGCAGATACCAACTCCAGGGTTCTATCACCAAAGGGGATGTGTCTCTGACTATAAGGAATGTGGACCACGAAGACAGAGGGACATACTGCTGTCGCATAGAGATCCCTGGATGGTTCAATGATATCAAACGAAACCTGAATTTGCAGATTTACAGAGGTGAGCAAAACTCTCTTCTCTCTCTGTAGAGAGAAATCCATTCTTCTGCCATTGAGGCTTAGACTATGTACCTTAGAGAGTGGTAGCAAAGTGAAAAGAGTTCCAAAGCCTAGAAAAAAACATATGTAGAAATGCTCCAATAACAGCTATGTGGGTGACACCAGCCGATCACTATGCTCTCAAAGGAACTCACACAGAAAAATGATAAAAGACAAAAACACCGTATCATCTGTGGGTGACCACTTTCCACAAACAAATTTATTTGGGGATAAGCTTTCATGGGCTAGAACCCACTTCATCAGATGCATGGAGTGGAAAATACAGGAGCAGGTATAAATACATGAAAAGATGTGAATTGCCTTACCAAGTGTGAGGTTAGTCTAACGAGACAATTCAACTGACAGCAGGATACCAAGGGAGGAAAAATAACTTTTGTAGTGGTAATGAGAGTGGCCCATTTCAGACAGTTGACAAGAAGGTGTGAGTAACAGTAGGGGGAAATTAGTATTGGGGAAATTAGGTTTAGGTTTTATAATGACCCAACCACTCCCAATCTTTATTCAGGCCTAATGCGATGGTGTCCAGTTTGCAAATTAATTCCAGTTCTGCAGTTTCACATTGGAGTCTGTTTTTGAAGTTTTTTTCTTGAAGAATTGCCACTTCTAGGTCTGTTATTGAGTGACCAGGGAGGTTGAAGTGTTCTCTCCTGGTTTTTGAATGTTATGATTCCTGATGTCAGATTTGTGTCCATTTATTCTTTTGCGTAGAAACTGTCCAGTTTGGCCAATGTACATAGCAGAGGGGCATTGCTGGCACATGATGGCATATATCACCTTGGTAGATGTGCAGGTGAACGAGCCCCTGATGGTGTGGCTGATGTGGTTAGGTCCTATGATGGTGTCCCTTGAATAGATATGTGGACAGAGTTGGCACCGGGGTTTGTTGCAGGGTTTGGTTCTTGGGTTGGTGTTTTTGTTGTGTGGTGTGTAGTTAGTAATGAGTATATTTGCTTCTTGTTGGGGGGCTGTCTGTAAGCGAGGACTGGCCTGTCCCCCAGGGTCTGTGAGAGTGAGGGATCGTCCTTCAGGATAGGTTGTGGATCCTTGATGATGCGCTGAAGAGGTTTTAGTTGGAGGCTGTAGGTGATGGCTTCTTGTCAACTGTCTGAAATGGGCCACTCTCATTACCACTTCAAAAGTTATTTTTCCTTCCTTGGTATCCTGCTGTCAGTTGAATTGTCTCGTTAAATTCACCTCACACTTGGTAAGGCAACTCCCATCTTTTCATGTATTTATACCTGTGCCTGTATTTTCCACTCCATGCATCTGATGAAGTGGGTTCTTGCCCACGAAAGCTTATGCCCAGATAAATTTGTTAGTCTCTAAGGTGCCACAAGGACTCCTTGTTGTTTTTGCTGATACAGACTAACACGGCTGCTACTCTGAAACTTTTCACAAAGAGATCACTCCATATCTGACCTCTCAGTCCTCATCCTCAAAGGAACCTGCACAACACTTCCAAAAGACAAGTCTGGGAGAATAAATTCATAACTATGCTAGACACTAAAAATCATGGTCTTCATAAAGACACTGGATTTATGGCTTATTACAACAATCTGTAACCCACTGACCCCCCTTTTTGTCCTATGACTTCAGAAGTGTTAATGGGGCACTTCATCTTGAATGGTCCCTTAGAGTATGTGCTAACTACTTATGTTAATCTGTTCCACCTTGTATCTAACTGTGACACTCTGAGTGCCTTTCCCAGACCTGACAAAAGAGCTCTGTGTAACTCAGAAGCATGTCTCACTCATGGTCCAATAAAATATATTACTTCACCCTCTTTGTCTCTCTTTATAGAGAAACAGGGGTGTGCTTGGTGACTACTGAACATTCAAGGCCAGTGATCTGTGCTGTGCTCTAAACTATGAGCGGACACGTATAGGCATACAGGAGCGAACAATCTTACCTCATCATGCAAGAGCTGGGAGGGAAACGGATTCTCATCCCATGAATATTTTCAAGAATGAAATTTTTTCTTGTCTTGAATCAGGACAAAAAGTCAAAATCTTGAAAATATTCACAAACCGAAAAATTCACAAACCAAAGAACTGTTCTTTTTTTTCCATTTCAGGTCAATCAAAACATTTTGCTATGCAAATTTTGAAATGTTTCTTTTTGACTTTGACCTTTTAAAACCTTTTTCAATCTAATTAGTCTAAATTTCAAAATGAAGAGTCATTCTGAACTGGAAGATTGGAATTTTTCATTTTGAAAAAAAATCAAAATGTTTCCTTTTGACTCTTTTGAAATGTTCTTTTCTTAACACTTTTTGGGGGGGGGGGGTATTTATTTTTTTGAGTCAGGAAATTCATCAAACCCAATCCTGTTTTGTGAACAGTCTTGATTTTCATGAATCAGCATTTTTCGACAAAAAAACTATTACAAAATTCACAGCTGCCTCTAATCATGGGGAGGAACTAGTGAAGTCACAGCACAACTTGGGATAATGGCTGGTCAAACGTTATCTCTCAACATTTTTTTTCTTTTTTGACAGAAAATTGAGGGGTTTTTTTTAACTTAACAAAAATATTCACAGAAAGTGTCTGCTTTCCTTGAAAAAAAATTGATTTTTCATCAAAAACTGAAAATTCCAAACCCAGAAATGTTCGGCTTTAGGGATTTTGGCTGTAAATTTTCAGTTTTTGGATCGTCCATTTTTGGACCCCAAAAAGTCAACATTGGCCATGCAAAAAAAAAGTTTTCCAACCAGCTCTATTTGGGACTCATTTCTTACCTAGTTAACTGGCCTTTTAAAGCACCTGTTCATCAGCCTCTTCTCAGAGTTTTGGCAAATAGATTGTTTAAATTCCGTTATGGTTTGGCTTTGTTTTACTTAAGTTCTATTGAAGATGTTCTGATCCGTCTTCTCTTTATTTCGTTTCAGCACGCACTCCTCCCGCAAAAACAACCACAACTGCCCTCCCAACATCCACTACTCTGCCCCTGATAACCAGTACTGCACTCCCAACACCCACTGCTCCCCCAACGACAACCACAACTGCCCTCCCAACAACCTTTCCTTTCCCGACAACCATTTTTCAGACAGCTTCTGCGTGCACTGAAGATGATGATTTCATTTTTTTCACAACAGAACACGTTCTCCCTACTGCAGGTATGAAAAACAGATGGCTCTGAGCACCTCTCTCACTATGCCATGGCGAGGTTGGCACAAAAAGGGCAGAAAAACATACCTTAATATGGAGCATTCCTGTTACCCCAGCACACGCTGATGAATTACCTGTTCTTTTATCTATTAAGTGAGGGATGCTTTCAGTCTACTTTGGTGTGTAACTTTTATGTAACTTTGTTTCGTTTTGATGTCTTTTCACTGATACTGGTATAAATTTACAGTAACTCCATCATCTTCAATTCTCTCCTGGAAGGCACTTTAGGAATGAATGTTGTAGGTTTCACTGTGCCCAGAAGTAGTGCTGACTCTTCTGTGTCATATACACTTATCCCTGTTGCATTCATACATCTCTCTCGGTGCTGTCTTCCCTGCTCCACAAGACAAAGTCCAGTTCCACTTCCCTTCCCTTCTGCTCTTTCTTGTTTTCCTCAAGCACCTTTGCAGTGTGAACACCCATGCTATTTAGAGACTTTCCGGAGACTAGATCCTCTTGTTTAGAGGGCCTCTGAGGCTGGTAGTGAGTGATGGGGGGACAACAGATCCACTCTAGTCTTTGTACTAACTTGGGCCCCAATTCAGGAAAACACCCCTGTTGAGGAAGGTTGCTTAAGCACCTGCTGTGGTTGATGAAGTCAATGGGACTCACAAACATACTTAAAATGAAGCACATTCTTCAGGGCATTCCTGCATCAGGGCCTTATTATTAATTAGTTGGCAGCACTGATAAAGTACTTGCTCTTTCATTCATTTTCTTAATGCTTATGTTGGTCTTGTTTATCTCCAATTTTATCTGTGTCAGTGACTTCATTTCCCCAGACTGAAGTCTGCACACAATGCTGCTTGCAACTCTTTCCAGTTTTTATCTTGTTTGATACTCATTGTAACATGAACATTTTGGGACAGATTTTCACAAATGGCCTCCAATACTGCACCCATAACTTTGTCCCCACAGTTAAAGGCAGGCACAATTCAGTATGCCCACATAAATGAATGCATTTAGATGACTATGCACCAGAATTGCCAGTGAAGTAAGTTAACATAGTTAGGCACCTGAACTGCAGACATAAATGGTGTCTACAAATTTTCACCCACATTTAGCTAGCAGCTCAAAATTGCACCAGCAATTTGGAACACCATGTTTTTAAAAAAATGGTCTTTTTAAGCATCTTATTTTGTCTCCATGACTACAGAATCACCAACTACAGAACTGATCTCCGAGAGGACTGAAAATGTCGATCCTGCTTTCATTACAGAAGGTGTTCTCAGTACAGGTGTGTGTGATAATAATACAGGTGCAGAAGACATTTGATCACTGGGTTCAGAGCTCTGACAAGTCGTCATAACCAGAAGTGTTGGCTGTTCTTGAATGTGTATCAAAGCTTCATTTATAGTTATTTAATCATCTGGAAACAATCTGTATCACGTGTCCCTGTGGATGCTGACTCAGATCAAAATGCTACAGCTGATAAGGAAATCACAGTATGATGAGTGAATCCACATCATGGGTGAGAAAGGGTTAAAGGCCAGTTAGGCACATTCACGCCACTGAGGCAGTAATTAGATCGTTATTTGTCAGCCAGAGAGCGTGGGGCTAAAGGACGATCAGCTGATGAACTCAACAGACACCTGGGCCATATAGATAGGCTGAGGGAGTTCAGTATGGAAGGAGAACCTGAAGGCTGGCTGGTTCCTGTGAAAACTTGGGCTGGGTGGGACAGTGTTTGATACCTGAGCCTGGGAAGGTGGGGAAACCCATGGGAAGGGTTGAACAGGTGGCCCAGAGGATAGGTTGATTCTCTGGGACTTTGGACTACACTTGCACATTTTGTTAGTCTGGAAGGGTTTGAACTAGCCACTTCTCAGCCAGCGGGCTGAGTGACACACAAAGACAGAAGGCCTGCAGGGGATGCTGGAGATGCAAACCTCTGCAACACTGCATCCTGACACAAGGGGCACTTGAGGTGACGACGCACCATTACACACAGTTTCTAGTATCCCAATGGAAATTGGAGGCCAGAAGTTCACTACCGTAGAGTCTCTAATGCATGTCAATCTCTGTCAGGCTGTAACAGTTCCCCACTTCACTGACTGGAACGGGCCTTGTTTGTTCCTGAGTCCTGTCCTGGTCCAAGGTCCTGCTTTCTGAGATTTGATCTGACATCAGTTCAAATGTGGCAGCCGCCCTCTTGGCCAGCACACCAGGGACTGAACCAAGGACCTCCAGAACTAAAGGCATGAGCTGCTACAGCCTGAGTTAAAGAGCCAAGCCTCTGTAAGTGGGAGCTGCCACAGCTTGCGTGGATCGGCCCCAGGGGCAACCTGTACCACACACTCACCAGCGGGTTATGCAGGCTCATGAAGCATCTTACCCAGAGCCCATTGAAGTCAAAGAAAAACACCCATTGACACTGGATCTAGCACAGAACATTCAGTGGCACACAGTAGGTAGGCAACACCAGTCCCCTCCTATCTAAATTATTTAACTCCTTGTGATTACGGAAAGCAGCAGGGAATTACAACAACCCTCAAATAATGTCACCTCCAGTCCTCCTTCAAGGTAGAAATAATTGGGATGCAAAATAGATCCTTTGTCTCATAATTAAACAAACGAGGCCATGTTAGGTTTGACCACGCTGGATGCTTCCTTCACCCTGGCCAATCATACTTCAACACTCTCACTGCTACGTTTATTTGCATATGAGCTCATTACTTTCTCATGAGGCACCATCAACTCTTTCCTCTACTGCATATAATAATATAAAAAAAACAGGAGTACTTGTGGCACCTTAGAGACTAACAAATTTATACGAGTTTTTTCATGAGGTTGATGGATTTCCACTCCATACGGTTAAATGCAGTGCCTTGCATAATGACAGGTTTCAGAGTACCAGCCGTGTTAGTCTTTTTGCGGATACAGACTAACACGGCTGCTACTCTGAAACCTATAATAATATAGAGGCTGCGATTTCAGTCCTACAACACCATAGTTTCGCAGTTAAACTGATTTGAAACAAACAATGAAAGAAATTCAAACCCTGGATTTTTTTTTCACAGAACAGTTAAAATTCACAAGCTGCCAGAAAGGTCAAATTAGAAGAGTGACACTTAGAAAAGTGACCTGTGTTTTTTTTCCCCAATGTCAATAGCCCACTTGTGGAAATGTCAGCAAATAAGGGCTTAAAAAAGAGGAAATCTGACCTTGGGAAAGCCATTGCTAGCGCCATACTGTCTCCCAAGGGCCCCAAGAACAACAGATCTGAGAAATTCTCTTGGTTCATTCACTTCTTGTAGGCACATTTTGCTTTCCTGTTTTTTCAGACACAGCTGATGCCTGAGGAGAACATGGGCTTTCTAAAAACGCTGTCTCACTTTTTGAGGGAAACATTTGTTCCGGCCTTGTAGCTCCCTCCCTGGTTAAGACACAAGTGGACAGGAGTTTGCTGGCCCTTGTGGATATTCATTCAAGTCTCATAGCCCGTTAGCCCCCATTGGCAGGCTTTGTTTGGGAAAGGCTAAGAACTTGAGCAGCAGGAGGTGTTGCAAATCAGGACTGAGTAGCGATGGGTAGAGCTGTGTGGGAGCAGCTTACCCACAAAGTCAGCCCACACAGTTCCTAGCATCACACTGAGCTTTTAGCCCCTCGTTCTTTCAGCATCCGAAGTGGAGGCAAAGCACCATAGGTGCGTTCTGCACAGCCTTTGCTAGTAGGACCCTCAAGGTTCAGAGGTAGCAGGGTGAGGGGATGAGGTGTTTGAATCTAACTCTGATCTGAATTTTGTGGCTAGACTGAAATCCAGGGCTGGCTCCATATTCAGCTCTACCTTTCGCACTTTGGGGCCAGGCCTACATCCTGTACCTTCTACGTTCCTTCCTTATGCGCCATCAGCTGGGGCATTGCTCTGCAGGGACATTACTGGAGTAAAAAACATCATTTTTAAGCTGACCGATGAAACATTTATTAGGTTACTTGGAGGAACCACTGAATGATATCTTCTCCCATGCTGTAGCCTAAAGTGATTTATTTGATCCAGTGCAAAGAACATGTGAAAATGCTTACTCTGTAAGTGGTAACCTGTGTTCTAAATGGTCTGCAAAGCACCTTGCTGGAGTAGAAAAACATAGTAAAACATTGCAGCTTAAACTCCATAATCAGATCACTCGGTGTATGTCTGCACTGCAATAAAAACCGGTGGCGCCAAGTTTCAGAGCCCAGGTCAGTCTACACGGCTATTTTTAGCCCCTCAGCCTGAGTCCTGCCAGCCCAAGTCAGTTGACCTTGGCTCTGAGATGCAATGCTATGGATCTTTTCACGCCGTGTAGACCTACCCTCTGTCTGTTTCCTTCTGCATTCCATGTCTGAGAAAGGCAGCCACAGGACTGATGAAATCACGTGTTGCCGTCCTTCCTCTTCTGAGCTTCTGCATTCCCAAGCGATGTTTACTCGAGGAACTGATTTTAGCTTGTTGTCTTCTTCTGCTTTGTTTCAGTGACTGCAGATGCCACTGTCCAAACATCTACTGTGAGGCCTGATCATGTTCACACATCCACAGACAATCCATTTGCTACAGGTAGAGAGAATGTCGCCATGTTTACATGCTAGGGCCTTCCAGGGAATGAGCCAAATTATCCTGTAAGGTGGCTAGATTTGATCTGGGTGTGGTCTGCTCTAGGGGGAATCAGTGGCTAGAAATAATACCTTGTGGAAAGTGACTTGACAGTATTTGGACTTCTTTGTTACAGTGGCTCTGACTTCAGTATGCTACTCATGCATACTGATTAAATGTAGCACAGCTTATTTCAGCAAAATAACAGGACAGGCCTACTGTATTGTGAAAACTCTGAAATCTGGGGTGAACCCCAGGAGTCCTGGGACTCTGTTAGAAGTTTCTGTTTATTTTAATTCCAGGGACAGTTCCCCCAGTTACGGTCCAGACAGTCTCTGAGGCGAGTGAAGTGAATGCTATTTCTGATGCTACATTTCCCTGGACACCTGCGGGAGACTCGGTGAAAGAGGAACTCAGTGAAGGTCTGGAGAGTATAATTAATTTTTATATTTGCCGTAGCCTTGTAGGTGTCTATGGGTTTGCGGAGGACAGTGGAGTTGTCAGTGGAGATTAATTAAGTGGGATGGACAGGCAGTTTAGGAAGAAAGCTGAGAAGTTCCGTTTTTTTATATTATCCTGCACAAACAATAGAGAACAGGGACATAAGGAGAGGCGTACGTGCAGGGTAACTCCACTGAAAGCTATCTGACTGAGAGCCGAATATGACCCATGGAATTCAAATCTTTCTACTGCCCTTAGGAAAAGTACACTGCTTTATTCCTCATAAGGACAGCCTGTGGTTGGGGCAGGAAATCCAATATAGATGCATGGCCCGTACCATCTTCTGGTTAAATAGTTCATCTCTGCACTCCACAGCCTAATCTGTGGAGCACAGCACGGTTCTGCAGGTGGTTGCTGAGCAGTTCAGAGGCACATTTATTCTGTCTATGTTATTGTTGCAGTTTTAAATTCACAAGCCATTCATTTAGGGCAAAGGCCTGATTGCACTGAAGTCGATGGCAAGCCCCTCCCCGCCACGACTCCAGCGAAGCATTGTTTGTCCCTGAGTGTATTGCTACATCCTGTAGAAAGGAGAAGTGGGATTGTTGCTTCTGTAGGCTGTGCATTGCCCACACACCAGGGGCCTCTTGCACCCCCCCAAGCCCACCTCCACAAGTTACCTGTGTGCCACACTCCCATCCCTCTCTATTTCAGGGACACTCTGCACCCCCTGCCCCTCATGCCAAGGGCTATATGTACCCTCCATTTCCCCCATCCCCCCATACCATAATCCCCATCCTCCCTCCCATGCCAGGGGCTCCGTGTGCCCCCACTCCCCTCTTCACTCGGCCAGTACAGTAATCTCTTATTTCATACCACGAGGCTATTCCTAACTTAACTATGGGGCCTTAATTAGTGCCTGTCCAATATTTAGAGACTCAATCTGATAGCTAATTTGGATCTCTCTGTTTTAGTGAACACCCATAATGCCCGCTCTTTGAATTGTCTCGTTGGTGTTATGAGAATGGAATATTTGAATTAATTCTAGGTTTTGGTGGCACATTTTGTATTTTTTTTAAACATCCATTTTGTTTCAGTGACCACATTTTTTCCACCTGCTAGTCACAAGGATTGAATAAAAGTGCATCTATTTCTTATATACCTAAAAAAGATTGCTCTGTGGGTAGGGAGAACATTATTGACATTAAATACAATGATCCAAGCCATTCTCATGACCACTACTGGTATTTATCACGTAGCAGGACTGCTGGATTGAGACCTGCAGTATTCTGCCTACTGGGGTACTATGTCTCCTGATGGTTCTCATTTACTTTAGTAGGTCCTTGGATAATTGGTCCTTTGCTGAAGGCATGTTTTGTTAGAGCAGCCTCTTTAGTATAGCTAAGGAGGAATGTATGCCAGAAATCAGATGACTATTGCTTTTTGATCGGGATGGGAATCCAGCACAGATGGCCCTGACCCAACGCAGGAGGAAATGCAGTCAATGTGTTATTGTGTTGAGTACATTATTTTACAAAAGGGCTGCCCTGCTGATGTTCTAGCTGGAACTCTAAATGGAACAGTGTGGTATCAAGAGCAACCACAGAGCCTGAACCAGCAAACAACACACCACTGTTTAAATGAGTCACACTCTCACACACCCATTCAAAGGAATTATGACTTACTTCTCCCAAGAACAGAGTGAAGTAGAGGTAAGTGACAAAACACGGAAGAGCAGCTGAATGATATCAAATACTGTAGTCCACGAAAGCTTATGCTCTAATAAATTTGTTAGTCTCTAAGGTGCCACAAGTCCTCCTGTTCTTCTTTTTGCGGATACAGACTAACACGGCTGCTACTCTGAAATACAAAAAGAGAGGCCAATTTTTGCCGCTGGCTTTAATTCCATTTATCATGCCATTGCATTAGGTCCTTTGTGAACAGATGTGTTCAACGCAATACATTGGTTAAAAGCAAACTGCCCTTTAAGCGTGGTGTAAGTTAAGGTTAGTACATTGGTAGTGAAATCTTGGAGTGAAAGCGAGGATTGAAATTGATCTCTCTGCCTAAACAAACATTTCAAATTCTGTGGGCTAAATGCTCAAACCTAGCCAGCTGACCTGCATGCACAAATCCAATATCCCCACCTAACTGAGCACCTAAATTCCCGCGTAAACAGGCGAACTCTACACTTCCATGTGTAATTTAGGAGGCCAGTTTGGCAAACTGCTCCCTACTATTTTAATGACAAGCATCACACATCATTTCATTCATTGTTGTATATTCCTGCAAAAGCAGCACCTGGAGGAATGTGCTTCTGCAATTAATGAACTCCAAGATGGTGGAACGCAGTAGCCTGAAGTTGGATCAGAAGAATGCTAGACGCAGGCCCCAACTGATGAAACCTTCTGTATTAGGAGGGGCCCAATCCGGAAGCAGTGGAGTTGTAAGTCAAGTCAGAATCGGGTCCCTTTTTATTAGCTACCTTTCCACTGCTCCACGCACATGTCTTTTTAAAAATTTTATTTTTGTTTCACTCAAGATAAATACAAAGGGAAACAGTTCGAGGGGGAGCAAAGAGGACAGAATATTATATCAGAAGTACAAGGAAAACTGTTGTCCACAATGGGGGATTTAATATACATAAAAACACAGCTTCATTTTTTAATATAACAAATTTAATTATATTCAGCACAGTAATTAAATTCTAAAGAACAAACGTTCCCTCACATCCATCTAAATCATCATTATAAATTGAAATACGGATGATATCTTGTTCACCACATTGATTGGCTTGAGTCTAGAATGGTAGTCAGTTAAGTTACCATTTAGTGAAGTCCCACGCTCAAACACTTACCACACATGTGGTCTTAGGAAGTCTTTTTCTATGTACGGGTGAATGTGCATGTGACTCATTCAGGCATCAGCATGTTTTTGCCAGTATAGATCATGTGGTTACTTTTTATATCACACGTTTGCCTTCCGAGCATGATCTGTAATGTCACGGCAGCAGTCTGTTTGAATATGAACATGCCCAACCCAGTAACGCATTGAGTTCAGTGGGCTGCCCTTTAATCACAAGGGTCCCAATCCTGTGAGGCATTTAAGTGAGGAGCTTACTGCTCTCAACTCTAAGACGTCAGCACCTTGCAGAACTGGGTCCATTATAAACAAAGGCCAGTCCATTGCTAGCACTATATCACCAGGGCGTGATTTAAAGTTCACTGTGAACATGGTTTAAATAAGAAATGAGCAAACAAAGCTTTGCAGAGCATTGCACTTTGTGATGCAATAGAAATTCACTGTGTTGGGACCACAGTTTCCTTATTTTACAAGCTAAAGAAACTACATAAGAACAGCCATATTGGGTCAGACAAATGGTCCATCTAAACCAGAATCCTGTTTTCTGACAGTGGCCAGTGCCAGACGCTTCCGGGGGAATAAACAGAACAGGGTAATTATCAAGTGATCCATCCCCTGTTGTCCAGTCCCGGCTTCTGGCAGTCAGAGGTTTAGGGACACCCAGAGCATGAGGTTGCATCCCTGACCATGTTGGCTAATAGCCATTGGGGGAACTTATCTAATTTTTTCCACCCAGTTATAGGTTTGGCCTTCACAGCGTCCCCTGGCAATGCGTTTCACAGGCTGATTGTGTGTTGTGTGAAGAAGTACTTCCTTTTGTTTTCTTTTAAACCTGTTGCCTATTAACTTCATGGGGTGACCCCTGGTTCTTGTGTTATGTGCAGGGTAAATAATACTTCCTTATTCACTTTCTCCACACCAGTCATGATTTATAGACCTCTGTCATATTCCCCCTCATTTGTCTCTTTTTTAAGCTGAACAGTCCCAGACTTTATTTAATCTCTGCTCATATGAAAGCTATTCCATGCCCTTAATCATTTGTATTGCCCTTTTCTGTACCTTTTCCATTTCTAGTATGTCTTTTTTGAGATGGGGTGACCAGAACTGCACACAGTATTCAAGGTGTGGGGGTACCATGGATTTATATAGAGGCATTATGATATTTTCTCTCTTATTATCTATCCCTTTCTTAATGGTTCTTAACATTGTTCGCTTTTTACATTTTACAGCAGTTTGCACTTTCATGTTAGGCCCTCTTAACATTGCTTAACATTGTTTGGTTATATGTTGCTTAAGAGCAAGGGAGGAAAGCCTGCCCAGTGCTTAGGATACTAACTTATGACTCAGGAATTCAAGGTTCAATTCCCTACTCCACCAAAAACTTTTGTGGGATCTTGGGCAAGTCACTTAGTCTGCCCGTGCCTCAGTTTTACAGATGGGGATAATACCTCATCCCTATGTCACAGGGCTTTTGTAAGCATAAATGCATTAAAGATTGTGAGATGCTCCGATACCCCAGTAATGAAAACCATATAGACACTCAGATAGACGGATCAAGCTGCAATATAATTGCAGGGGCATTTGTGGGAAAACACCTGACACTACAGATTTTTCCTGTGATATTTTAAATGGTATCAACATCTTCAAGTTACCGTGGTAACACATAATTCTAACAGAAATTAAAATGAATGGTCTTAGCCCTTATTCACCACATCTGATTTACTGGCATGCTCACCGGAGTGAAAATTTCGTCACAGGAAGGTAAGTTTCTTTCTGCTGTTCTTCACTGTTAGTTCTTGTGACTTCACCCTTTCCTGATGAATATTGACACATTTCCTGATAAATATCTGCCATTCCTAAGCTACGAATGAGATTCATCCTACAATTTAAAGCTTCTTTTTTATTTGAGGCCAGATTCTGACATGCTTACTCACAGTGAATAAGACCTTCACAAATTTGACTTCATATAGTTAGGTTCTGTTCGACAAGGGTATCAGACTCATTTTATTCTCTGCTTTTTCTGTTGTCAGAGACTTCAAAAGATTCAAAACTCCAGTCGGAGGAAAGTGTAGATAATCCAGCACAGGTAAAAACTATTCTAAGTCTGAGAGCTGGGCAAAAATTTTCATGCAAACAGTTTTTCCACCAAAAAATGCAAATTTGGTTTGACTGAAACCTTTTGTGAATTTAGGTCACATTTGATGAAGCGTTTGAGCTGAAAAAAAAGTTTAAAATCTATTTTTTGGAAATGTCAAAAACATTTTGCCTTTAGTTTCAGAAAGACATATTGTGCCAGAATGTAAAAAACTGAAAGTTTTAAAACCCTGGAAAACAAAACAAAACCTTCCAAAATGTATTTTGAGTTGAACAAAATTATTGCTTTGATTGTTATTTTTCAGCTCAACCACAGAACTCAAAAATCTGCTATTAGCCCAGCCCTGCTCAGAAATGTCTGATTAGCTAACAGCCTGCCTGACCTGTCAGTCTTTTAAATAGTGTTTTATGTTAAGTTCACACTGCCTGCAAAGTAGCATGGTAGGTGGTTTAAAATTGTTACATGGGAACATAGGAATTCCCAGACTGGCTCAGACCTATGGTCCATCTCGTCCAGTATGCTGTCTTTGACAGTGATCAGAACCAAATGGTTCAAAGGAAGGTGCAAGAAACATTGGCTGATGTGTTGTGCCATTTTTCATGTCACCTACCTTTTGTCCTCTACTGTTCCACACAGCAGCCTTTCGGCTAGTTTGTCCTTACAGATCAGTTGTGTGTGGATGACCTGTACCAGCTGACCTGACATGAAAGGGGAGAGGGCTAGAGTGTGTGTCATGTTGAGTCTGACCAACTGCAACACACAGATTTTTATAAGATCAGATTCCAATGGCTGTGTGAGTGGCAAGGAAAAGTTCCTATGCCTCCCCGGTCTCGCACCCCAGAACTGTTCCAGACAGGGCTGGCTCCAGGCACCAGCACAGGAAGCAGGTGCTTGGGGCGGCCAATGGAAAGGGGTGGCACGTCCGGGTCTTTGGTGGCAATTCGGCAGCGGGTCCCTCAGTCCCTCTCGGAGGGAAGGACTGGCTGCCGAATTGCCGATAGCGGCTTTTTTTTTTTATTTTTTGCCGCTGCTTGGGGCGGCAAAAAAGCTGGAGACGGCCCTGGTTCCAGTTGTGCTGGGCACCATGATTCTTTGCTGCCTCCCCTCTGTTCCAGAATGAAATTTTTCTCACTGTATAAAATATTCATGTACTTTGCAGATAAAATTCCTCAGATTCAAACCACTCTGTCTGCTTCCACGGGAACAGGGCAGTGTTTGAAAGGGACAAACACCAGGTAACCCATCTTTGAGGTTCAGCCAGTGGTGTTCACTGATGGCTTTGTGCTACAACCTGTGAATCGGACTTTTTCCCTTCTTGGCTAGTGAAGTCTAAAAATCTATATTTGGTTAAGGTAATATCTTTTATGGGACCAACTTCTGTTGATGAGAGAGACAAGCTTTCGAGCTACACAGATCTGTACCTTTCCCAGTCTTGAAGAAGCGCTCTATGTAGCTCGAAAGCTTGTGTCTCTCACCAACAGACGTTGGTTCCATAAAAGATATTACCTCACCCACCTTGTCTAGCTAATATCCTGGTACCGACATGGCTAAAGCAACACTGCATATTGTTGGTTGGGAGAGACAACCATTTCATAATGGGGGCCAGGATCTGGCCCTGTGGGTTCAGATAAACTGAGGCCTAGTTTGGGTTTGGGGTCTGCTTAACCAAACCCACCCAAGGAGATTTTGCAAAAGCAACCTGTAGTTTTGCCAAATCTCCAACTTATGCAAAACAAAAATAAGCTTGGAATTACCACAATACACACTCCAACTACCTTTCAAAACATACCACAGTTGCACGTAGAATTCCTGATTTTTCTTCAGTATTCATGAGGAAGGCTCAGAAAATCCATCCTGAAATTTACGTTGCAAACTCCTGCTGATTGCAGACATTTCAGAGTACTTATTGGTTAGACCAACCAGACCTCAATTAAACTTACCAGAGAAAAATCATAGTTTAAAAGTCTTTTCTGCTTTCTTCCCCCCCATTAGCACCTACAGAATGAAATTCCAACAGTAATCATCAGTGTGGTAGTGACGGTCATTCTTCTCTTCACATTCTTGCTGGTAGTGTTATTGACATGTAAGTATTTGAGGGTAGGTGTCCATCTTAATGCTCTGCATTGGCTGCTGGTCTGATGTGGATCTCTTTTGCATCTTTCTGTCCTCCAAATATTGAATTGAAATATTGAATTGCTGACACAAGGCAGATGTGAACTATACATTATATCTTGCTGTTCATTGCCTGAGTGCTTTTGATTCTTGCTGCCTGCAAATATGTGAAAACAATTTGTTCTTATTTAGTGAAAACTGGGCCAAAAGTGGGGTCTGGTCATAACCAACCCACTATGGAGAAGGAACTCGATTCTAACCTCATGCTAGTTTTACACGGATGTAACACCACTGACGTTAAAGAGGAGAATCAGGTTGAAGGTATTTTGGAGATGCATAACGGAAGGCTGATGTTGAATTGCAAATCCAGACACAGGGAAATGGATGCTTAAAAACTTAAGCTTAATACATAAGTAACAGCACTAGAAAACTACAGAATTTGTTCTTGGAAGCAGTTCGATATATAGATATGTACAATGGGCAAATTGTGCTCTCCGTTACAGTGGTTTAAATCTGGAGTGACTCAATTGAAACAGAGTTTGGTGGCTATACAGAGCCTGTTTCTCCCAGTGGTGTTAATGGAGTAACACCCATGTAATGGAAAAGCAATGTGAAAAGAGAATGAGGCTCACAGTACTTATTGCTTATCAAAAGGATGATCTCTCGTGCAAGTGGCTAGGGGAATTAACCTTATCACGGTGTTACCTTGATTCCACGAGTGAGGAGAATCCTGATGAATTGGCAGCCAGTAAAACCAGCACTGGTGACGTTTTTCTGTACAAGTGCAATGAACCTATTTCACTCCAGAACATTACTGCTTACACACGTATCCATGTGCGTTGACTTTTAAACACTTCAGTGTACTTTATTCCCCTGGAGATCATGTCACCCTGTTCGTTTGGTGGAGGTTTGCTTTCCTGACAGGCAGGACTGGAAGAGTTTAGGAGGAATTCACTGCTGGCTGTGATATGGTAGGAAGAAACCTCTAAGAAGCCAAAGTCCATTCATCACACATGCATGTAACTGGCTTGATTCTGATCTGACTGACACAGGTTTAGCACTTGTGAAAATACATTGAGTTTACTGGAGTTACTCCCGACACAGGCCGGTATAACTGCGGGTACGTCTACACAGCAAAAAATCCAGCAGCACCGAGTCTCAGAGCTTGGGGTAAACTGACTTAGGCTCACGCTGTAGGACTAAAAACAGCAGTGTAGATGTTCAGGCTGGGGCTGGATCCAGGCTTCAAGACCCTCATCCCCTCCGGATTTCAGAGTGCGGGTCCAGCCCAAGCCTGAACTCCTACACTGCTACTTTTAGCCCTACAGCGCAAGCCCGGCGACCCTGAGTCAGTTGACGCAGCTCTGAGACTTGCCGCCATGGGTCTTTATTTGCTGTGTAGACGCACCCGTAGGTCAGGGCACTGGTCCCTGCTCAGCTGCTACACATTTTGCAACATTTGCAACATTGTCTTTGTGTCGGAGTGCATTAGAATTTCATAAGAATTATGGGTTTGTTTTTCCTTGTCAGATTCTAATTAGCACTGCTTTGTTTCTAGATAAACGCTCGAGGAAGTATCAACTGCATGTGATAAAAAGGTAATCTGTTTTGTCATTTCCCAAGAAAGGGTCCAAGCTTGATCCTACTGAAGGCAATATGGGAATTGCCATTGATTGCAATGGGAGCAGGACAGATTGCACATGCTGTGTTAGAACACTGACCTCCAGACCACTTTACTCCAGACAATCCAGCATTGCTGCTTATAAATTGCACATAATGGAGTAACAAATAGACAACCAGAACACTGAAGAACTGCTAATGGTGGTGCTTGATGTCATGTAGTGACTTCAGTTCAGTGAACTAAATAACCCACTTCAGGATTTGATCGAACACCTTGAGGAAATGGCACATAAGGACCTGACTGACCTGCTACATGGGTGCAAATCAGGAATAATCCCTTTGGTATTACACTGGGGTAAACGAGAGAGAAGAGAATCTGGTGTGCACAACCGGCCTGGTTCTCCTCTGACTTGCACAACTTTTACACTAGTATAACTCCAACTACTTCAATGGGGTGAGTTATGATTTACACCAGAGCAAGTGAAGGCAGAATCTGGCCCATTATTGTGCCCAACCAGGAAAACAGTTTCTTCTGCTGACACATGACAACATAAGAGTTTCATGTTCAGTCCACAGTGAAGAGGTGTTCATGCCAAAGAGGCAAAAGAAGATACTATGCGTGATGAAGGTCTCAATAGAGGAGTGAGGCAACTCTAATTCTTTATCTCACAGCTACTGTACAGTTTAGCATCCTCTTTGGATCCCATTGACACAAATTCCTTTCTATGCATTTTAGGAGTTGAGATTTCTGATCGTTTCACCATACTCTGAAATGTTTTGTTGCTTAGTCAGAATAGAGGATGGTCTGTAAGCAATTTGACCATTGGCACATCAAGTGCAGATGTTTACCAGTAGTCAGTAGCTGAATTTTCAGTGGAAGACGGCCCCCAGCCATCCGCCTTATCATGCACATAACCAATTCTACTGTGCTGAACATGGGAGAAGGGGAAATTCTTTTCTGATCCCCTATGGAGATCAGTTTACACCTACAAGCCTGAGACTTGAAGCCCTCTCTTAACCTGTACTTTAATGTGGGGGGAGGGATAGCTCAGTGGTTTGAGCACTGGTCTGCTAAACTCAGCGTTGTGAGTTTAATTCTTGAGGGGGCCACTTAGGGATCTGGGGCAAAATCAGTACTTGGTCCTGCTAGTGAAGGCAGGGGGCTGGACTCGATGACCTTTCAAGGTCCCTTCCAGTTCTAGGAGATAGGATATCTCCATTAATTTTTTTTTAATGGAAATGGTCCAGCAGGCGTAAAATGGCATTACTCCATTAACGACAATGCAGAGATGCCAATTTACATTAGCTGAAGATCTGGCCCAATGGTTTCCTTTTCCCCAAACTTCAATAGGAATTTGCCCAGGCAAAGATTAAGTTAGGATCTCAGGATTTGGCCCACCATGATGGGCCCATGTATTTGTTTGCTACCCCAATAATAATCTGCACTTCTTGTTACAGCTCAGACTTATCTGGAGAACAAATTCCCAACGGAGTAGAAGAAGAGAATACCCTTTTGACAATGCAGCAGATACCTGATGGCCATTCAGTATCACAGGGAACATGTCACGATCCTGTGGAATCCAGCATCTAAAAAAGGCTCTTTCATGCTAGGCTGGAAAATAAGGATTAATTCCTTGCTAACCCTGGAAATACTGATGGGTTCAAACCAAAACCCAGATCCAAACACCTGAACTATGGGGACTGTAAAACCTAGAAGCAGATTTTACTCAAAGGTTTTTAGGCACCTAACTTCCAGGGGATCCCCTGAGGATCTGGGCCTTTTCCTCTTGAGCCATCTTTAAAACTGCTGGATAAAGTGGCCTCTATTAGAAGATATTTTACCCATTGCTTGCATCTCAGAATTCTTAGTCTCTTAAACCCCAACCAGGGCCGGCTCCAGGCACCAGCCCACCAAGCATGTGCGTGGGGCGGCGCCTGGAGGGGGGCGGCGCAGCGGAGCGCTCCGGCCCAAGAGCGGGGCCGCGCCGGGGAGAGCAGAGAGCCGCGGCGGACTCGCCGCTCTCCCCCCGGCGCTCTGGCTGCCAGGGGCTCTCCGCCCTCCTCCCGGCACTCTGGCCGCCGGGAAGAGTGGAGAGCCCTGGCCGGGTTCGCTGCCCTCCCCCTGGCGTTCTGGCCGCCGGG